GTGTGTTAACCCCGGCGCTTGTAGCAAGTTTATATGGATGGACCACCAGCATAGCGATAGATGTCTTCGCGAAAGTTTCCCGATGGCAGCGCAAATTGACATTTTTTCGTAACCCAACTAGCATACATGTCCAGACTCTCAGCTCTGCCAGGCTACGGCTCTGAAGGACTCTCATGGCCAGGATTCTCATTTCGTTTGGAAGAAAAGAACTAATTACTTCTTGGACCTGTTCTGTTTCAATCCCGTACATCTCTGTTACACTGGAAGCTTATCTGCTCCGGAAATTCTTTGGGCTCTAAGTCTGGAAAACATGGCGCACGTCTGGACTGGCAAAGCATGCTCGAGCGAAAGTTTCGCGCATTTTCCGTATAAGCCCCACGCAAGTAGAGGTTACAATCCAATGGGCAAGAAAGAGCTCACACCGCGCTAGCTAGCGGCAACATGCGCGGCGATGGGTCCGCGAACGTTTCCGCAAATTAATTTTCAGACGGGGAAGGTCATCTCGGGATGAAGGAATTTAGAGCAACGCCTTTATAGTGGTTGCTGATGGCTTTAGGAGTTGCAATGTGCGACTCGCCGGTCAGGTCTGGAAAAGATGGGAAGGTTGCACTTCTTGAAGTGCCAAAAAGGTTTGCCACAGGAGATGGCGGGAAGGCTGCAGACATTTGCAGACGGCTTCGAGCCCTGAATTCAGGTGGCTATATACCAAATTTCGGATGCTTTTGCCCATCATCAAGCCCGCTCCTTCATGAGTCTCCCAGGTCCTGAGCAGCCTGACTGTTCCGTACCTGCGGGTACCGCTTTTGCTCCACTTCCTCGCGGCTGATCGCCTCCATGCGCTGAAGCAGTCGCAGGGGGCCCAAGTGACTCGAGGCTCGAGTCGCTCGAGTCGCTCAGGATGGGCTTTGAGACTTCAGGACGTGAGTTTGATGCACAGGCTTGGGTCTTTTGGCTTGAAGACTGACTTCAGAATTTTTCCCGCAGGCCTGTTCCTTGGGGTTTAGGCACTGCTGGGAAGTGATGTGGGCCCTAATCACGCCCTGAGCCACCAATTGAAGCGTTCCAGGGGGCACGTTTTGACGGCATTGTATATTTACAATTATTGAAAAGCTTGCATCTTCGAACGTTGCGTCGAGCAAGGCCTCCCGGATACTTCCTGTAAACGGAATCCTGACCCAGCATCCGCGCGTGAAGAATTTGTGCCCAGTTTCTACAGGAATCCATTTATCCCAAGCTTTTGCAAAGGGGTGCCTGGGGGCACAGCGAGGTCGGTTCAGGACCTTCTTTGGTCAGCCATGATGGAGCCGGCTACCTGGGTGAACGATCAAGAACCACCACCTGTGGAGCAAGCTCCTGACTGCCGGGCTATCAAAATCCCTAGGGCTTGTTAGAGGTTGCAGTTTCACAGTGTTGGGTTGGTACTAACTCAAGCAGCAGCACCACAGCAGTATACCAGAATCTAGAAAAACACGGTTAAGCGGTGACTACGGTGTGGCGAATTGCGTTTCGCCGCTAAGCTTTCATTGATGGCTTTTGCTTCGGGACTTCGCGGTATTGGTGTTACGGCAAAAAATAGCCAAACTATGTGGCTTTGCAGCAGGAACGGGACTCGAAGCTGGGTGCTTCATATGGCCTGCTGTACAACGAGGCATCGGGTTCAAACATGTTCAAACTAGGTTGGCCTTGAGCTTGATCGGAACTTAGGTTGTAGGAATTGAGTCTGTTTGTTATTGACCTTGCCAGCCTTGGCCACAAAATTCATGGTGAGCAGGTAGGGCTTGCACATTCAAGGTGACATGGAATCGGGATTCAAAGCCGGTTATGCAAAGGCAGATTTCAGTTACACTCGGTGTGTTCTCCCGGAAGCGGATAGCGTAGCATCGGAAAATGTAGCATAGGCGTGGCAGTCCGTGGCATGTGGGATCCCTTTCATGTGGGCTCGAAGGTTAAGGCTTCAGCTCTAGACCTTCGTGTAAGGAGAGCGTGCAGCGATGGTTCGCAGAACCGTCAGTATTGAATGAAAGAGGGTGCATTCCTGACAAGGCTCGGGTTGCAACAAATCAGTAACTTGCTCTCCATCTGTTGTTGAGGACTTGTTTTTTGATTCAACACTGGTTGGCGCTCGGCTCCCTCAGTTCCCCGATTTCATCTGCTTTGTAGAGTTTTGTTTCCCTGGGCCAAGCCAAGGCAAGCCCGGTAAAGCACAAGCCGAAGCCTTGAATCCCAAGTGTTGACGTGGCCGGGCAGGTGGACAAGGGCCTTGGCACCATTGCTTCTCCCTTCTGTTCCTTGTGCGACCAGGTGGGAGAGATCTCGATAGCGAAGCATTCCCATGCATGTGAATGCGCTAGTACATCGATGCGTAAGGTCGAGCTGTCCTGCTGGATTCCTAATGACGGACAAGTATATACAGTAGTCGGCCTCGTGCCTGAACCTGGCAGCCTCGAAAGTTTTGCAACAGCCTTGCAAATAGGCAATGTAATTAGGAATCACGTGCTGTACGTCGTGAACCAAAATTGCCACCTTCTTGCGTACGTGAGCGTACTTTGACGTTTGCAACTTTCCATCCTAATCTACGGAGGCCAGTCAGGGAGCGCTTCTAGTTGAGAGCTGTTGTCTTGAGCGTTGTTCTTGTTTATGACTGTCTCGAGAAGGACACTTCAAGTGACCTTGCATTTGACCAGGCGGAAGAGTTGGCGAGCCTTGCGCCACCCGAGGAGTCTGCAGGGCCTTTTCGAAGGTTTCGGCTGCGTCACGGTTACCTGCAGTTCAGTTGATTGTCCTTGTTTTTGGAGCGCCCTGAGATCAGATGAGAGTGGGCATGCATGATTGGCAACTGGCGTGCGCATGGCCAGAAGCTGAAACATGAGCTGCACACCCTGAGCTCCCAGCCGGGCGGTTGCATACTGAGGCAACAAAGGAACCCCATGTCAGTCAGAGCCACCATTTAAAAGAGCTTCAAAGCATAAATGTTGCGAAAAGCTTGCAATTCAGAACATAAGGCCGGCGTGTTGCATGGACATGGTGCTGGTACCACACTGCACTTGAGTGCTAGATCATGCATGAAGCTCAGCGGTCAAGCTTCTCTGGTGACACTGGTAACTGGTGTGAGCTCAAGCTCAAGCCTCAAGTCCTCAACCCGAAGAATCCCAAGGAGTTCGACGGGCCGCCTGCAAACATTCTCCTCTTCTTCGTGAGGCTAGCTGGTAGCCGTTGCACCAGATTTTGAGCAAAGGGTAGGCAGTTGAAGAAGGAATCACATGATGGGTGTGCAAGTTGCAGGCGAAAATAGAGTTCGGACTTGGCCAAGGCAGAGAGAGAGAGGGCTGCAGGGCTTGAAGCTCGTATTTGAATCTTGGGTGAAGGGCCTGGTATGTACTGGTTTGCTGTGCCTTTAACATTTTCCCGTTCTTGATTGCATTGTGAACCTGCACCTTCGAATCCCAGAGACCCAGAAGTGTGAAGCCCTGAGATCGGGTTGACCGGCTCATCCTTCCTCAGGTTGTGCAGCAGGTTTCTTGACCAGCTGCACAGCCAAAAAGCGGCGGACAGACACCCGGAGCTCACGATGCCGCTCAGCTCCTCTTTATTGGTTCTTGGTCTTCGTGGGCATCCCTCAGCAATCTAAGGCATTAGCTCACGACTTTAATAGGGAACCAGGACTTGCAAACATCTGCCAGTGTATGCAGAGGGTCGCCTTCTGAAGCCGAAGCTGCTGAGGCATCTCACGACCTTCCTAGAGGACGGGCGAGCAAAAAGATTTGACTCTCAATGGGTCAGCTTACCTACTCGCTCTGACACCAGTGTTCTCAATTTGAAGCCGAATCTGTACATCAGTACATCCTAAAAGCCTACGGCTCAGCCTGTGAACCTGCAGCCACGGCAGCTGGAGGACAAGGCTGCGAAGCATCTGCAACGGTACATCGAAGCTTCAAGCCAGGACTGGTTTGCTCCGAATGTCTTGGCATTCTCTGTCCTCAGCCTTAAGTTTTTTTTTCCTCAGCCTCTTGTAGGAGCATGTGGAAATGCCTGGATGTGAGCGATGTTGGTTGGGGTGTTTGGGGTTTCGTGCTTCCGGGTTCCAACAAGCCCTTGAACGTGAAGGGTGCGGATGGGAGGGGTCCAGCAGGGGTTTCTCAGTAGATTTTTTGGGAATGGGATTGTTGCTAAACGTGCCACAAACCTGTGCGGCCCATCTTGCGTGATGATCTCAACACCTGAGACTCATCGAGCCTGAATTCTGAGCTATCAAGTGCAAGGCGTACACCCAACATCGTCCAACACAATGCTCCGTCAGTAAAGCTGGCAATCCCAAAAAGACACTCCAAGCCCCTTACAAGCGCATGTGAATGCAAGGAGGTGGACGCGCGCTGCCGGATGCACGCGCATTTGGCGCTGACCTGCTTCCATCGAGACGTGTGGGCGCCCAAGCTTCTCTGTGTAGGTTCGATGGAAAGGTTGAGGGCGCTGCAGCATGAACCCTTGCAGATCTCGCATCGGTGAGTTCGCCTGTCGAGCCTCCATAGCTGTTTTGGTGGTTCTCTATTCCGTTGGTCATGACAGGTCCGTTCCCGAGAACATGGTGGTGCTTCTCAGCAGCTCCTTGGCTCATTTCAGATTCGCGTGTGATGAAATCGCGTTGCTCTACAAGCACTACCCCGTGGCAGAGCTGTTGCAAGCCAGGACTAGCCAACTGCATCCGGAAGCTAGGAAGGTATGCACGGAATGGAATTCAGGCGTCGGGTTGTAGATCAGGGGTTGAACGAATTCACCCAAGGCTGCGCGTACGTCTTGTCCTGGTCACCGCCTCAGAAAACCTTGCAAAGTCGCTCGGTTAGTCGGACAATGCAAGCTGCCATTCTCGTAGCTCTTCGGAGGTACGAGCGTGACTTCCACGAGGATTTTGGAACGCAGCTGCAGATCCCTGGTAGCAGCTTTCATGATATCTCCCAAGAACAAGCCAGAAGCATTGGTCAACATCTACAGTGAGCTCGAGGAAACACTGTGACTTGAAGGCCGTCCCTGAGGCTATCGAAGTTGCGATACCAAAATACATTGTGCTCCTTCCATCATACACATCATACAGCGTTCGCTGTTGTGGCTCGACCCTCAGACCTTGAGATATTGAAGCACCACGTGACGCTCAAAACTGACAGCTTGAAATTGATTCGCTGCTAGATGCTGCTAGCTGGCATGAGAGCTGTTAGCCAGTGTAGCCCTCTCAAGCCGGAGATCACGCAGGGGGCTCTGGGCTCTCAGTGGGAAGATCGCCTTGAGGATGGTCTTCGAAGTGGTCCAGAGAAGGCGGTGCGAGGCGGGAACAGTGGCAGCGTGGCTTCTCTCGCGCTTCGCGCTGGAACACCAGCGACTCTACGATGTGGAAGTGTCTCCTCGCATGAGTGTGACAGATGTGATGAGTGAAGGCTGCGGACTTTAAGTTAACTTTGGCCAGAAATGGGGTTGAAGAGCCTTGCAATTGCAGGAATTTCTTTGCACATTTTGAACCCCACCAGAGGCCGCGTATTCCTTGATCGACAGTTCCTTGAGTAGGTCATCAGCGCACTGGAAGCTGCGGGCGGAAAGCGGAAGCACATCCTCGACGAGGTCCCGGCTTTTGCGAGAGTTGATGCAACATCGAATTTGGCAGTGTCCGCTTTCCAGAAAGTTCTGCAATTGGCTGCGGCAAAGCCCCCCTAGCTCCGATTCACACACGGCGAGCTTCAGCCGCCTCTGTGACGCAGCATACCTCGACCCTTTCAGCGATGGGCTCATGATACACACGTCGTTCAAGCTTGTAGAGTAACTGTTGCATGGCATTAAGAAGGCCTTGCGTTGCTGCTGTATAAACGGCCTCATCTGCAGCCCGTCGGTGGATGCCATCAATTAAGAGACACCGCTGACAGAGGTGGCCAAGATCACATCCAACTTCTTTGCTGGTGGTGGCTTGGTATAAAGATTCGCGAGCTCCTCCAGTTCTTGTTGGATCCTTGAGTCAAGCATGCCACGTTGCACAGCCCTAACTCTTCAGGCACTGACTGGAAAGAGGATGGTACGGGAGCCTATCGCTGCCAGAAGGACCGCGGTGGCGCGGCAGCTCCTTGAACTGCACAGGAGCATCTGAGAGTTTTCTTGGGTTCGCACTCGGTTCGGGGAAGTTTATGAGTGTAGAGCTTTTCTTGGGATGGCCTCGCACATGTGCAGACTTTGAACTGGAGATTTGCAGATTTCAGGCTCGCAGCAACGTGGAGTTTGTCTACTTGTGTACTTCTTGTGCGCTCAGCATTGTCCCCAGATTTCATGGCGGACCCTTCGCGTTGCGCTGAGGTTTTCAATGCCCAGACGTGTACACTCTGGTTGGAGTCAGGCTTGGTGCCATGAGTACAAGCATTGCTGGACTATTTTAAAAGGAAGTCTTCTGTTGAAGGCCCAAAGCGGACCCTCACTTTCGAGAATTCCAAAAGAGACATCCAGGAAGCTAGCTACCTTGGATCTGCAGCCAGGTCTACTTCGTCCAATTCCACCCAAACTGCAGCGCCTGCCGCAATTTGCCAGGACCTCACACTTGCCCAAGCCAGCTCAAAGCCCACTCTCTGATCCGTTTGAATTTTAAGAGGCTAACTCCTTTCGGTAAACGTGGCAGCACGATTGGTAGTGAGGGGATGATTGAAGTTTGTTTGAGGCGGAATGATTTTCTTGTGCCCTGTGCTTGTTTGGCTTCCGCCATGCAACCTTGGTTCAGCTTGCATAGAGTGCTGAAATATGCCTCATCAGCAGCACCCAGGCCGAGTTCTTCCGGCAGCACCCGGTAAAGCTGCAGCCCACCTGCCGACCAATGAGGTCCCTTGGGGACAGTCAGATTTTGGACAAGGTATCGTTTAACATTTGGTAGAGGTGACAACCGTTCAGGCATTTAATTTAGGCATTTTGGGGCCAGTGATCTTCTTGGATTCAGAAAGCTCTTAGCAACAGGTAGGTTGTTTGTTAAGTTTTGCAAAGACATAGGGCGACACCGTTTCAGGCAATTTGCATGCTAAATTTGGTAAACGTGTGATATTCCAGAATTCCAGATTGTAAGAAAGTTGTGCCAGACTGGTCGCGGAGAGAGGTGCCTTGAAAGACTCTCAGCTCAGGCTAGCCAAGAACTGCCACATCCTCTCTGCCGTTGATGATGACGGTATTACCTTGGAGATGCAGCTGGTCCCTCAGAAAGCTGAATGCTGACGACCAACCCGAACCAACACAAAATCTTCCAAGCATGCAGAGCTGCAGCAATAGCGACAGGTCGAACTTGCCAATTATTTGCTGAACTACGCACTGCCCTGCAATTAGCGTGTATTGAAATGCACACATTCTGGACAATGGATGAGGCATAGACAGATTGCGGATGGGTTAGCGGTTTCTCACAACCTGATCAAAGTTTTTGCCTTAGGTTTTCATGTCGAGATATTCGAAGTTCATGGTGTCCTGTTCTTGATGATTTTTGTGTTTGCCTGTCCCTAGTTGAGCTGGCGTTTTTAGATGTGATTGCGGTTGCAAAAAAAGAAGGAAATCATGCAGCAAGGCGAGATGCACCCTTCAATCCTCATCCTCTCTGAAGCCCACTGCAGCAGTACATCTCGACCCTGAATTCAGAATTGCCAAAGTGTGTAAGTTAAGCCGACTAAATAATGACCCAGCTAAGCAAGATTGTCTAGCAAGCAACTCAAATTCACGGAGGTCTGCTAATGCGCAATCTGCTGTCAACTATATCAGGTGGTGGTCCGAGATCAAGAGAGGAGGTCCCCGAGTTGAAGCCGAGGAGCAGGGGCCTTCCTGTGACGAAACCTGAGTGCTCTTCAGTTCTACCAGAGAAGCATGAACTTGAAGCTTTGAGATAAGGGAGCACTCAAACACCCCTGGTGACCGCTGGCGAGAAACTCTGCCAGAAGGACTCCTCTGGACACACTTGGAAGGAAGCATCTGATGGAAGTAGCGCCCCACAAGCTGTGTCTCGACAGCCATTGGGGTCAAAAGTCATTCTATTCTGCGGGGAGAGTAATCATTTGCTTTCGTTGGGATTCCGTGAGAGGGTTCATTTTGCAAGGTATAGGTCCAGTGGTGACAGAGGATGTGCCTGGTAAATTGCTTGGTACGCTTTGACACGCATGTCATAAAAAGTGGTCTAGCAACAGGGAATTGCAAAGTGTTGACGGTGCAAAGATTGCAACGCATAATTCTTCAGAATCGAGAAGCTTTACAACAATTTAATCAAACGAACTTCTGGGGGGAACTCGGAGGCGCACAAAAGAGTGTCCACAATGACATCGGTTCCATAATCACACGCCGTAAAGTTCTGGTATTGCAACTTCAGACTGTTCGATTGGCTTCACGTCTAGAACTCTAGCAAGCCAGGTACCTGCAAGCCTGAGCTGCATGAGCTCTAAACAACTCAAAATTCTAGCCCCGGACCTTCCATGGATCTCGGATTCAGTTCTAGAACCACCAGGATGTTTGTATTGCTGAGGTGGGCCTGCCTTGGGAAGAGTCTGGCGGCTGGATGATGCCAGGAGGCATCCATAGCTTATGTTAAGCTAGGCCTCACCACATTGTTTTCTGCACCCCTTTCCTGGCTAGGGATGAGTCAGAACGAAGCCAGGCACCATGTGAGCCTTCGCTATCTCCTCATTGCCCCATGCACTCAGAACCCGTGAAACGCCTCTTACTCCTTGCGCTGCAAGGCGTGCGATGTGAGCAGAACGATGTGTCCAGCTGGCGAGATGCTCGGAAGTGGTGCTGATGCTGTCATGCTGCAAGATCCACAAACTGCCAGTGACCGCTGCCGCTGCTGAATAATCCTGGGCTTCTTGAGAATGCGGCAATAGGGGAGTTTCACTGCATAAGCCGTATAGCATTTGTCTGTCAAAGACAAATCCGAAGGCAATGACCAGGGTGGCCATACCCCGGCTAAGCCACAATCTAGCAGCAACAGTCAACTGAAAGCTGTAAATCTGGCACACTAAAAGACATGAAGCAGCGCCGACGCGTGATCCAGGCTTCGTGGACATGGGAAGAACATGCTGGCAGACATCTGGGACACGCTGGTGCAATTCGCACAAGAGCCCGGCAATGACGATGAGGGTGCTTGGGACTGAAACTATCCTTTGTGCGGGACCTGGTCTGCATTCCAAATTACCTGGTAGCTAGTGTCTATGGAATCCTTGCCTTGCGAGACCTTTGTGCAGGTAAAGTGAGGCTAACTGGCAGTTGAGATGAACAAGCGGTTGCTCATTGGTCCACCTCGGTTCTTCACTGTCCACAGGAGAAGCGCTGGAGCCCATCATGGGCGCTTGGTATGTGCAGACGAATCACGTGGATGGAGCTCTGCCCTCAGACCTCAGACAACGATGCGGCCTTCCTGTCGGGAAGAAGCCTGCCTAGGAGTTTTTGATGTGCGCCCAGCAGCCAAGTTTGCCTTCAGAGTTTTCGCAGCTTGCAGCATGCATCCAGCAATCTCTTTGCCACGAGGTAACTTGTAGGCTTGGGGTTGCATGCTTCAGGCCAAGGTGGTTCGGGGTAATTCGCTCTTCAGCTGCATTCGAAGGCCAAAGAACTCGTGGCAGTGCAACCCGTGGACAGGCGCAGAAGATGGGTCCTTTCTGAGATGGACTTGAGATGCTTGATTTCCGTTTTCTGTGAGTCTCGGGAAAGGAAGGTTGGTATGGAGGAGATGAACGCCTTTGGGTTTGGACTGACTGGAGCTCGTTTGTATACTCTATCCTTATGGCACGCAAAGACGTATGTTAAGGGTCGTGTACCGCTTCTATGGGTCGTAAAGCGTTGCCCAGAAAGTAGGTTTCGTACTTTTGAGGCTGGACATGTGCTGGGTGCGGAACATCTCGGCTTTTGGGAAAGAGTCCTTGAGTCTTGAGTGTGATCATTGGCGCACTGCTTGTTTGCGAGCCACACAGCTGCTGCGCAGGCTTGGCATCGTGGAAGCTCGGTTTGCGTGCGAGCAGCATCCGGTCATCCGGATGTTTGCGCTGTCTGCAACTCGTCTGCGGCCAATGGCACACCACTTGTGCTCTCAACTTTCCTCTTTTTGGGCCATCGTAGTTTGGGGGAATCATGCAGCTTCATTTGCAGTTGGTACTCTTTCTTCAGCTTAGAAGTCGATTGCAGCTGCTGCTTTCCGGATACCCTGGAAGCAAATCACCTTGCAGCGCTTTGATGCTGTCAAGAACTGTTGAAGCCTTGCAGTTTACCAGCCAATATGTAGATGGAATAGTCAGGCATGCTTGAGAGGCCCCCCCCTGCGCTCAAGGACTTTGGCCGCCATGCCTACCGATCGCAGATCTTCTGCTCGAACGCGGCGCTCTCCTACGCGGCGCTGATTCCAAACGCAAAGCCGCGGAAACTGCCGCTGTGCAATCCGCAGTTTGCCGGGCGCATAGGCAGGGTCAAGAAAGCTTCTGCCGCGCGTCGCGTAACTTGATGTCTGCGCAATTCCCTGGGTTCTGCATGTGAAAGTAAATCGACATTGAAGGGACCTGGGCCGGAGATAAAAAGCAAAGCTGCTAAAGCTGCTGTCTGCAGACTGTGCTCTTGAACTCTTGGGTCATCCCCAAATCCAAGCTGTGGGCAAGAGTGTTTTCAAATCAGGAGCGGCAATCACAGCTCCTGTAGGACTACAAGACTATTCCTTTGGTCTTGGACATCCCCTTTCTCAACCGCCAAGCTGCAAACTGCAGCAGGCTTTTTGCCCTCGATGGAGTCCCTGGCGCTTTTCGATGACGGAAAGCGGCTGTGGGTTCCGCCGGTGGCTCTGCAGGAGCACCCCTGTTCGATAGGTGAGAGAGTTGGTGGGTCATGGTAAGCATCATCCATTGCTTGTCTACGTGTTTCAAAGGTTCAAGAGGCAGCGTTCAGGAAGCAAGCTGCAGGAATTCTGGCTTGACTGAATGAACCCTCTGGTGGCAAAAGCAGCGGCATGCATGTCTTGACCAGCTTGGAACCTACACCTGATTTCCAAACCTAGCTGGCAGCTGGCTCTGCCCAAGCTGCAGCGATGTGATGTTGTTGTTGTTGTTGTTGTTGTTGTTGTATCTAGTGATATCCTTCAAAGGGACGTCGCGGGCCTCAGCTTAGACGATGTCCTGCATCCATTCTGGCGCAGGGCCTGCTGCCAGCAGTTCTCACGGAGGCAAGGCTCCCTGACTTTCACGGAAAGCTTGATCTGGTTGAGAAGAAAGGTCCTCCTCATTCTGGAGGTGCAGACGAGTTGTTCTTGGTTGATCTGGGAGAGTCCCTGCGCTACTAAAATCCGGATTGTCACAACCCCCCATGATCATGACACACCATCGCACCGAGCCGTGCGCACTTATTGAGATCCAGTCCAAAAGATTGTCACTTCTGAGCTGTGGCTCTGTGCATCACGAATGCCCTACTCTGTGCAGGGCTGCCGCTTCTGGGGCATCTGTGATGCTGATGGTGCTGTGAGCTTTGTAGGCAAGGCGTTGTGTGGAATTTGGTGCTTCGGAATCCTAACCTCGAGAGATGCCTTCCAACCAGCCTCTCTGCGCTGAAGCATTCTGTGCATGTTCGAGATGCGAGCTTACACCTGGTGCTACCGGATCAGGAAGTTCAGGCAGTGGTCGTTCACCTTTTTCACAATTTCCCAAGCACAGCACCACTCTTGGATGAGATACTTCTTGCGTGTTTGTAACGAACTAGATAGGATGAAGGTTTGGTTTGCACTGCTGCTGTCGAGTCTGCAGGTGAGCCCTTCAATCCGCCGATCTACAGCAGTCTTACTTACAGCATTCAGGCAGTGCCAGCACCGCTGCTGTTGTCAAAGCATTGTAGGTTGTGTAGGCACAGTGATGCAGTCACACGAGGCACGTTGCAGGCCTTGATAATGATGTGTCCAAGATACCAGCCACGGACATCGCTATTCCTTACCTGCAGACACTTCAGACCAGCACAGTGTCCAGGTGAAGTGCCAGCACGGAATTGCTCGAGTGCCTTGGAGTTCATGAGCAGCTTGTGCTCGGCGGTCTTTGCCAGTTTTGGGCATGTTCTTTGCGTCATCGTAATTTGGGAGTCAAGCTTTGGGTGGGCCCCGAGGCCCAGGCGACTGAGCATGACGGAACCTTTTGTTTTTGAAGTGCCCAAGAAGCAATGAACTCCAAGCAGCATACTCCCGACCCTTGTGCAG